GCGATGAGGATCAGGACTACACTTGCCCACACTGCGACCGTACCTTCGCCTCACACATCGGCCTGGTCGGTCACTTGCGAATCCATCGCACAGAGACTGGCGAACCAGTGCGTGAAGCACCAACCTACACCCACCGCACTCGTCTCTACTGCCCTCGCACCTTCAGGCATCGCATGGGTATCTTTGGGCACATGCGCATCCACGACGATCTGCGGTAGACGACCGCCGGTCACACCACACATTCACTCACTCCCTACCTCCTCCTCCACCACCTCCGTCACCCCACCAGAAATCAACACTCACACACCTCACGCACCCAACTGCCACCTCCCACACAAGTGGGAAGTCAGCATCTCGACTCGGTCCCCATGCGGCCTCGGCTGCACGGGTGACTTGAGTCCGAGACTATCCCGACACGTCAAGCGTCGTGGATAGGAAGGTTGCTGATTGACGCCCGCTCTCGCTTCACGCAGTTCGTCGCGTTGTGTGGAGTGGCGGACTGGTGGGCTGAGGACGGGCTGAAACAGCACCTTCCACGGCACTCTCACGCAAGTGAGAGACATGCCGTTCAATCCCCGTTGTGTGAAATCCTGGTGTTGGGTGTATGGGGGGCCAGGTCGTGCCGTGGCGCGCGCAGTCATGGTCAGTCGACCATGACAGCCACCGCGCCCATTCCCCACTCCAGTCTGCTGACCGGCTCGGACAGCGGCTGGGGTGTGGGAGTGGGAAGGGAGAGTGAGGTCGACGACTCAGCGCACTTCCTCCTCACTATAAACAATCTGACGCGCTTGCAGCCATCACAGTGCACTAAAAGCCGTGGCATGGAAGGTTGCCAATTGACGGGGTAACTTGGACCTCCTCCATGACCGGAGGCGGTCTGAGAGTCAGGCTGCAATGGCTCCTTTTTTATGTGGCCTTTATGGCACTCCCATCACAGTGTGGGATCCGAGCCAGGCGTTGGTGGCACGCCCAGGTGCGGCTTCGGCCGTGCCAGCCTCCAAATCTCTGTTGTGATTGGTTGAAATCCTGGTCATTTGTTGTGTGGACCAGGGGGTGTGGTGGAACGCCAAGGTAAGGATCCGTCCGAGCCATCCACCTGCGGCCTCCCTCGTCTCCGGTCTTCTTGACTCTGTCTAGACACCGGGTTCGGGCGAGGGAGGAGGAGAGAGTGTAGGTAGATGCTACGCAAGTCTACCGGTACTATAAACCCCTGCGTAAGTCACTGTCCCTGCTCCCATTGCTGCTTCAACTGTGGGGCAGACAGTGAACATCATCGAAACCGATGGTCGAACTGTCATACATCGCAAATGCGCTACACCTAAAATGGGAAAGGATAAAGACATTTTGGCTTATTACACGAGTTATTCGGGCTGTGCTCTCAGAGTATTTAGCTATTGCCATTCATGTGTCACCTTTAACGCCATCATTCATCGGCCTGGCGGGTCATTTACGGATCTACTGCACAGACTGGCCAACCGGTACCAGGAGCATCGACACGCCCGTCGCACTCGCCTCAACCGTCCACGGACATTCAATCATTCCATGTGCCTATTTGGCCAAATGCGCCTCGATGCAAATCTTCGGTAAACCACCACAGACCAAATATCATCACACATCTCCCCGCCGACCCATACAATATGCCCGAAACCCGTCCGGCATCATCCACCACAGGCACGGAACAGGTATCCCTACATAAGTCAGAAACGTGTTCTACGGCTCCTTCCCTAAGTGGACTTTATGGTATTGCAACACATGTGAGATCTGAGCTGCCGACTTCCTCTGTGAAGACCTAGGCTGTATCGGGAGCCAGGGCATGTGTAACACGCGTAGAAGGACTTTGTTAACCACTGCGCTTGAATCTAG